GCCGTCTCGCGCCTCTGCACGCCCACCTTATATGTGATCCCTCGCTGTCTGACTCTAGCCGTTTAGCAGAGAGAGCGTTAGCGTTGAAGGGGCACCGATGAGAGTCGCATCAATGCGGGAATCAACGGGCAAAGAAGGGGTCCCATTTCTCGGGTTCTGAGCCGTTTCTCATGGTTTTTCTTCATCCTGCACCACTGAGCACCTCTAGCTTGTCTGATGGTCTGCCTTTTATTCCTGAACTCTTCAATACATGCCAAGGATTCCTGTTGGCCTCCGAGTTTTCCTACAGAATTCATCGTTACCCTTTCAAGCTAATTTTAGCATTGTCAGTACACTAATGCACGTTGACTATTTTCAGAGGTATCATATCCCCGATGCTAGCGCAGCCGGGAAAAATGTTCACGAATTTCTGGGGAGACATCGCTCCGAACGGATATTATGCAAGAAGTGAAGACTACATAGCAATCGTGCAACGAAAACGCGTCGGCGTCTGGAATGTGAGTCCTTCCAGAGTTGCTAGCAAGTACCTGAATAAGGCCCTAAAGCAATCTTCTATGCTGTTTAGGTTCCATTCGTGACCACCGCTCTTTTGATCAACAAGGAGAAGATGAAAGAAATGAAAACGCCGTATTTCTATGACAAACACCTCGACGTGGACATGTCGTTCTGTAAATGGGCTAGAGATAAGGTAACCAAAATTACTGATTCTTCTCCTTATCGGTTTCGCATAACTATCAACAATTCAGGGACACTTCATGTACGTGGACAACGAGCAGGACTTTGGATTCCTCATAGTCAGTGAAGAATACGTCGATATACTTCAGAAAGGCAAGCTACACCCTGAAATGTGGGAAATCTTTGAGAATCGAAAGGTATCAATTGTGTAAAGGCCAGGTTATTCCCATAAGAACGATCGCACTTCTGGTCCCTTTTCCAGCTTTGGGAGGCGCGATATGTCCACCCGGGCTATCACAGACTACTCGAAGAAGACACCGTTATCGAGCAGGCGTGTACTGATGTCTATGACTATCCCGCTAGTTTCTGAGAGATTCTGTAAAGAGATGATCGAGGAAATGGAACATTTTGGTCACTGGAGTGACGGCTCGAACAGGGTGAGATATTTCCTTGCACCTACATTTATGGAAAAAAAAGGAGAAGAAATCAAGTACTCATAAAAAATTGGTTTATCTTCCATTTTAGGACGAGCGCCTCGCTGGTGGCTATGAGAACGTTCCTACTAGGGATATCCATATGAGACAGGTAAGACTACCGCTATATTTATCGGAGCAGTTCCTAAGTGTCGATTAGGAGAAATGCGCCTTCCGCTAAAGGGACCTGGCCGTGTATGATGGTAAATGGGAAAGGGCTGAAAAAGGGATGATGTGCCCGCAGTTTATCCATCATGTAGGATGCGCCACGCATTCGAATTTCATTCAAATCGGGGCTGCTTTTGTGATTAGCAAATTTCAGCAGCGAACCTATCTCCGACGCCGTGTTTTAAACCACTCAAAGATGTGAGTTATTGCCAGGGCTTGGGTTAGAAGGAGGAGAGGCCTTATCAATGTTGTCGAGGTGTGATCCCGCTGAACGCTCGAAATAGACGTGCGGAACCGCAATGCCAGCTGCACATTTTGTCGAAAAGAAAAATGTTGTGTGCCGGAGGCGCAACAAGAATGCATGACGCACTCGTTGAGGATTGGTAGGATTGATATATTGCTTCCCCCAATAACTCCCTCCGGGTGGGTTCCATCGACGTACTCCTGCACTTCGGGCAGAACGGGGCAGGCGGCGCCGCTTCTGCTTGAGTCCAGTGCCAATACCCAATCGACTTCTGGCCACAACATTAATTGATTCGATCCTTACCCTTGCGCGTTGGATTCATTGTTACCCGGAGTAGAGAACAGACATGAGCTCACTGAATTTTACATCGGCTGGAACCTTCTATTCGTTCTAAGGGCGAAATGCACATCCAAGAAAGCGCCCCATTTCGGAATGGAAGTTGACTACATAGCTCATATTGCTGGACGATCTGATGAACAATTGGCTATTCCTTTGGATTGTTGTTTCAGATCGAATATGAACGGCACTGGTTATACTTCTTGGACGAATATGTGAGACCAATACAAGAGAAAGTTTTCACAGGATACTTCCATAGGGTACTGCAGATCTCACCAATTATTTGTGATCCTGCCTTGAGTTTGTAATTTTCTATGCTTTCTTCCAGCCCGTCGAGTCCATAATGATGTTCGTTGTGCGATATCGTCCAGATGAGCAGCCATCACTCAGGCCGCATCACGATGCCAGCACTTTCAGGTTCGCCTCTCTGCAATCTCTCTAATTTACCGCCTTAAAAAGGAGTTCAAAAAGGGTTCAATCGAAAGAATTCTTTTCAGCATAGATATAGCACTCAACAAAAAAGGTGTCGATTACGAGGGAGGTGGAGTCAGCTACCCGCGATACAACTGCATAGTGCCAGCTGATCAAGTCGGTTAGTGCCTTACTTTTCAATGCTACAGTTCGTGACAAATAGGATTTGAGGTCTCTCAGTGAACATGAGTCTTTTAAATCCGATTCTGAAGTAATCAGCTGAAAAACCCCTCTTTGAAAACTTCTAATTTGGATGTACCCTATGGGGTGAGTTTAATAAATCCTGTGGGAACTACTCTGTGATTAAGGAATGATTTTCAGCGAGGTGTACAGATTCGACACATTCTATAGCCTTATCTGCTCGTTTTGGACCAGATTGCATACGTACCCTCCCCTTCAAAAAGTGTCGGGTGCAGACCATGCACCACAAGTGACGACGGCCTTCACAAAATGTTAATGTTTTCTGCCAATGAAATGATTAGCCTGTTGCAGTTGTATTCTATCGATTGTCACTAATTACAACTATCATTTACCAGAAATCAGCTATCACTATGAACAACTTCTAACCAGATTTACTTGGAGGCCGTCGTCAGTTGTGGTGTTTGGTCTGCACCCGACACTTTCTCGCTTTTTGAAGGGAGGTTAAGATAAGTTTCAGACGAGAGGCGGGGCTCTACAGGGGCTGAGTTCAGCATCACACTGTGGGCGATTCGCGTTCCTAAAAAACCCAAATTAAGAGATTTTCAGAGCGGCCGAAGGATGCCAAAGCTCCCTCAGAAGGTAAATAAGCCAAGAAGAGCTAGGGCAATCGCTG